CCATAGAGGGTGGATAAACCCTTGAAACTATTGCCCCAAAATAATCTTTAAAACTTAAATGAAAAATATCACCTGAAATCACCTTAAAATCAAGCAATAGTTTAGCTTAACTAGTAATGAATGTCTGTCTTGAGCATTATGCTCTTTTAAGAACTATCTAAATGGGATCAGATTGACAATAGCAACTCAAAAGTTTCAATAGGAACCTTAGGGGCAATGAGTTTATATTAACGAGTGTGGAAGATCTCAGAAAAGGAGGGTGAGAATGGTTGCACAACTAACTCATAGAATGTAATTAATGTCACTAAATTGTACATGTAAAAATGATTGAATTGGTGTGCGTCTTGCTGTGTATATTCTCAACAACAAAATACTTAAAATTTAAAGAAATAAAAGTTAAAACAAAAAGTCATTTTAACAACCACTAACATTTGAATCACAATTGATGTTACCCTGCTTTAATTACTTCCAGGGCTACCAAAAGGTTAAAACACAAGATTTCCATTCCCACGTAAATTTTTAATGGATGTGTTTTCTGAACTCAAACTACATACAGTTCAAACTGAATGTTTCAGATCTTGATGAAAGTGAAAAGGAAATTTCTAGATTTCAAAATCAATTTAACTGTGTAATTAAGGAGCTTCCGCATAAACTTCAATTGGAAATGCTTAATCTGCAATGTAGTGGCATGCTAAAAGGCAAATATTCAGAGAAGAATCTAACAGCATCTATAAATGCCTTCCAAGACATGAGTGGGCTCAATTTAAATCATATGAATGTGGAATGATACCAGTATTCGTCAGTACTTATCTACATGAAAAAAAAATTTTCAAAGATGAAGCATATAAAATGTCATTATAGATCAGCATTAACAGATGACTATTTGGAACAAATTTTGATCATAGGGAACATTCACTTTCTTAATTAAGTGAAATATCCTCTCCCAAAAAAAGAATGCCATTTCTCTCATTGTTGTTGTTGTTGTTATGTGCTGTCGAGTCGGACGCGACTCATAGCGACCCCTCCTTGGGTTTCCGAGACGGTATCACTATGGCAGTAGATTGCCCCATCTTCCTTCCGAGGGGTGGCTGGTGGGTTTGAACCACCAGCCTTCTGGTTAGCCGTCAAGTGCCTTTAGGCACTATGCTACCAGAGCTCCTTTTCTCTCATTAGTAGACCTATATTCAAAACATTGTACTTGATTGTTAATATTATATTTCAAATTTTATCAATAAAATTTTGTGGAAATTTGTTGTTTCTCTTGTGTGTAAGTACCTACATAATATCCTTAATTTTATCTCTTGGCTCAAAAATCCTAAGCTATTTCCTTTCTGAACCTTCACAGAAAAATTTGCCTACTCCTGCACTAGACTAAACCACATGAAAGGTGAGACTATGGTTAGTTAAAATGTCACAAAATTAAATTGAATTTGACATAGTAATTTATTGTTACTATACAACCAATATATAGCATAGTACCTGACACATAGTAGAAGATCAATAAATATTGAATAACATAGACTCATAGGGATGATATTGGATTAAACCTAAGGAATACTGTGGTTTTTCTAAGACTTAACTTGACATTACTTTCTTTTTTTTATTATTAGGATTTGGGTGAAGATTTACAGAGTAAATTCACTTTTCATACAGCAGTTCACATAT